AGTACTAATCACGCACTCTCCACATCGGACTCGCTATCCAACCTGCAATCGCCATTGTGAGGCCATGGCAAGCATCAAGCAAGCTAAGGAACTAATAGCGATGCCACAACTATACTGGCACCCACGCCTCCGTAAGCAACGCAGACGCTCGTTCCTTACTACTTCTTCTAGTTAACAAGCACCCATCACGACAGGACCGCCACTACTCTACACTCGCGGTTTACGCCCGCATCGGTTCCTGCCAACTCAAGTAAGATGCGACCAGACGCTCGTTCTTACCATCCCATCACGCGGTTCCTGCCACCACCTCACGCAGTTCCCGCCACCACGGGCAAATAACGCCGACGCTCGTTCTTACCTTTACCTCATCACCGCGGGTCGGTCGCATCGAGCACACGAACGTGCACGAATATCACCACTACCTTTGAGCTCATGGACACAAGCTGTGACGTCACACGGACGTTCTCCCACCACTTCGCACACTACAGCTCGCCCCTCATCGGCTGCCAAGACGGCACAAACTTGCTTCCCCTACTACCACGAGTTCCCCACTACACTACTCAACTCAAAGGAAGAAGGGAAATCACGTTGCAGGCTATCGAGAACACACTTACACACTTATCGCCACCACCATTACTGAAGAAACACCAATATATTCATTTCATCACATACTCATTCCAATATTCATAGATTATTAACTATTCATTATTTATTATATTTAATAAAAGGAAAGACTATTAACATTAAAGGCAGTATTGAATAATTGCATTGCCCCTTCCACTTGCCAGCAAGCCTCCACCCACCATCATAAGGAGGTTTTTAGTCTGATCCCAGACACTGGGGATATAATTTGTGTTACAAAAGATTTTGTATTATAAATTGATAAGTATATACACAAAATAAAATGACTAACTAATCAAGATTACTTGGAAATATTTATTACTATACAAAGTTTTTAAAGTTATTAACGAGAATACAAATAGTAAAAAAAATATATATATAAAACCATACATTCAATTATTCGAACTATCTAATGACTAAAAATGCTGATTATAGCATTATAAATAAATCAATTTTATTAATAATTATATAAAAGAATTTAAATAAATTAGATTATAAAAATTTTATTACATTAAAATTATTATGAAATTCATTCTTTTCTGTTTTGTGAACATTAGTGGCATGGTGTTACAATATTCGTTTCCAAATAATTAGAACATTTTTCAAATATATTTAGGGTTATTTTAAATTGAGAATCAATTATATTATAAATTTTTTATATTTTAATTTAGTTTCTAACTATTCATTAGTTAAAATGTTATTAATTTAAACGGTTTAATTTTAATTATCTTAGAATTTTTAACAATGTTAGGTTCATAATTTCTTAATATTTGATAAAATATAATAAAAGCAAAATATGAAATAAAAATATATTATTAATTTGAAAAGTAAATACAAATTAAGATATAGTATGAAATTATTAAATATTAAAATATATTTTCATTTTTCAATAAAATTATTGTTGACAACATAATTTAAATATAAAATTATGAAAAATTATTGATTGAAATATTTTTATCTTTAATTTAATTTATTTTCAAATATAATAAAAAATAATTATTAAATCCAAAATTACAGATTTTGCGTATAATATAACCTCAAATATTAAATTTGTGTTTTCTTTTATGTACTAACGAAATCTATATTTGAGCAGAATAAAATGAAATAAAATAATATATACATAAATTGAAGTATTTTTTCTATAATATTTTTATTCAATATTTGTTACATTCGTTCAATTTGTTATTTCATATTATAGTATATACAAAACCAACTGAAATTTTAGTTTTGCCCTTTTTTTCTATAGGAATCTACATTCACATTTAAATGGTAGGATAAATTATAAAATATCTTGATATTATGTATCTCGAAATACTAAATTTTATAAATAAAAAGTTTAATTCAGGATACATTGTAAGATATTTCTAATATAACCAGTATTCTTGCACGTTAAAAATCAAAAATAAATTCTATTAATTTTATTTCAGTAACTTACAGTAACTTTTAACGAGAAATTGGTAATAATGAAATTATAATAAAATTGAAAATATAAATTTTTAAGATATCAACTTAGTATCTTGGATAATTCATTCAATATCAAAAAGAATGTTATTCATATCAATGTGCACACCATGACAGTATACTTACGCGAAAGCACTTATGGTCCATGGCCTGATTAGACATCGAGACATGAGATCACAGGAATGTTTCTACATCTTTAGTCGTGGTCGTCTGTATACCTGGCAAGAAATATATGGTAAAATAGTTAGAACTCGAAGTTCTTATATAAAAATTTAACCTTTCGAACTTCCATTAATTGTATGATGTGATTGGATATGGTTATATAATATTTTATTAAAGCAATAACCACAAACACTTATATTATAAAATATAATTTAATAGTTTTATGGAATAAATATATAAATAAAACTGCAATTTTATTTATTCATTTTTATGAAAAATATTTGTTATGTAAATATATATATATATAGATAATAAAATTTCAAAATACATATAATTAATTTAATATAACAAATCACTTTTCAAAGAAATTTGAATGGAATATTTAACAAATTTTGTTATTTATTTAATTAATAAACAGAAACAAAATAGTTAATTATATGTATAATTTTTATTACGTTGCTTAACCAATTTATAAAAATTTATACTTATTATAATATAAATTTTCTATATATATATCAAGAATTAGCAACTCAGAATAATACTTACATAATGTTAATTTTCTTTTTCTTAATAGTTTAGAATAATTTAGAAGATATGTGACAATCATCTATAAAGCTATTATTAGTTAATATTTTTAAAAACAATAAAAAAGCATGTATATAGTTCTAATACAAAAAATAAAATAAATATAAGTATTACTTTAAACTTAGTATTATTTAATAACCTATATTGGAATTTTTATTTTATTGAGAAAAACGGGTAATTAATTAAAAAAATTATTATATATATGTATTTGAATCATAGAAAATGTTTAAATTTTATAAATAAGTTATTATTTAAAAATAATTAATAAAAAGCATTGTATATAAAAATTTACAAGTTGTTTTTTATGTTTTATTCTTACGTGGGTTAAAAAAATCGAACAAACTCTCGATACAATTAAGGACTTTATCAATTTCTATACCATAAACATAATTTTACTACTATTTCTACTACTACTACTACTGATATTTATCTGCTACTGCTCCTACTATTACTACTACTACTAGAAAAATAAATAAATACGCGAGTCTTTAATATTATTTTTATATAGAATATTTGTCCAACTGTTATAATAAAAGATGGAAGTTTTTATGTTTGGATTAAAGAAAAAATATATAATATATTGAATTTATATAAATTAAATGAATAAGAATATAAGTGACTCGAAAGCATGAAGTGTATAAATAAATATAAATATATTAAATTTCATGCCATATATTTAAATAGATATTATGTATGAAATATAATTATGATCTATATTTATTTAATATTTACGTTATTTACTATGGATTGAGGAGACCATTCAAATTAAAATAATATTATACATTAGTTTGAATATTTTGTTCGTGGACAAATAATTTATTTAAGGTACACATTTTATCACTTAGTTAATTACATATATTCTCTCAACTTTATACTCTATGTATAAGAGAAAAATTATTTTAATTTATATTTATTTTGAACAGTATGTAATCGATTATTTAAATCATTTTATTCATAATATTTAATGAATTTGTCCACGAACTTATAATTTTGGAAAATCTAATGAAAGGTACTTAGTTATTTTATTACAAGATTTTTATTTTTATTTTATTCGAGTTATTATTACATTAAATGATAGAAAAAATGAGTCAAATAAAGTATGAAGTTTGTTAAAGCAATTTGATATTGTCCTAAAATGTATTAATCGGTACCTTATTGTATTACATTGGATAAAGTATATTTGACGCTTAGCAACTTAACTACTTACGTACATTATATTTAAGTATGTTAGGAAGAGTACATTATTCTGGCTTTTAATTAATACATTGTTAATTAACGCGTCGCTATTAATATTGAAATTTGTTTACATGAATGAATAATATATAAGCATATATATTTGATCGCTGATGACATTTAAAACATTTTCATTTATTACAGTTTAGCACTAGTAAGCTAATTATTATGTAAATATTTAATATAAAAAGAATTATTATCATATTATATGTGTTCAGTTTTAATTAAGCAATTCAATTAAAAACTATTAAACATTTTCCCTTATTCAACTATTTTCTTACAACAAGAATTTAATAATAAGAATACATTACAAAAATTCGAACAAATAATTTTTATTTAGATATATTTTTCTAGATTTATTTAGTAAGATTTCTGTCATATTTATCAATATTTTGAATAATAGTGAGAAATACTTGAAATTAATTAAAGTGTTTATAATTCTGATAATATTTTATTCAAATGTCGCGGCAGATTGTAATCCTCTTGATCTTCTTTAATCTCTCCTATGTTATATTATCCTTTTTATTCTATTTCCTCTCTCGCTTATCTACCGTTATTCATTTTTCTTTTCTAAACGATTTAGATATTACAAAGTTTATAAATAATACTTAGTTATTTTGATTATTCCTTTAAATTAGTTAATTTTAAAGAAACCGTCTTTATATTTTAAAAATTTAATAATTCTTTTTCATAGAAATGTTAGCATCAGTCATTCGATTCAATAGTCAATCAATTATAATAAATTTATACTTTGCGATACTCTATATTATTTTAATTACATAGAACCGATGGTTTTTACAATATTAAAAAAGGAAAGTAACTATAATGAAATTTTAAAGCATTTGATTTATGGAAAATTAAAAATTTACATTATTGTTGTTATTTTTTAGTAGTCTTGTAGGGAA